ACGGCTCAGACGCTTCTTTCGGTATGTCTAGCCACACCCACCTACAGCAGCAGCAGCAGCAGCAGCAGCAGCAGCAGCAAAAGACATCAAGAAAGTATATAGAGGAGATGTTTATTGTTTGTGTGTTTTGTGTTATTAGGGAAGATGAGAGGTGCAGATACACCTCAACTATCCAATGTAAGTTGTGGTGTATGTACACCTCAATTAGGTGTATGTACACCTCAATGAGGTGTATGTACACCTCAGTGTTCCTGCTGCTGCTGTTTCTGTTGCTGTTGCTGTTCCTGTTCCTGTTTATACTACTGCTACTGTACTGCTGCTCCTGCTTCAACTAATATTCCTCCTGCTGCTGCTGTTACTCCTGCTGCTGCTGCTGCTGCTGCTGCTGCTGGTGGTGTATAGGCCGATAAGTCCTTAGCTCTGGAGGTAGCGAGACTACGAGAGGAGGCCCTCTTATGCCGAGATAAGGCGAGTTGCTGCAGCGGAGCAAAACAGCGGCAATTATTAAGTCTTGCCTTATTAAAGGAGCAGAGAGCAGCAGATGCTATAGCACAAATGGAGAATTCTTCCTTATTTAATAATAATAATAATAATAATAATAATAATAATAATTATAATGATAATAATATACAGCAACAAGAACAGCAGCAACAGCAACAGCAGCATATGAATATGCAGCAGCAGCAGCAGCAAATCGGTAGAAGTGCAGCAGGTGCTCACAGAGGGAGAGTTGATCCTCGAGGGGATTCGGGTATCTTTGATCAGTAAGTTGTATGTTGGGGTGTATAGGCAGCTATATATACTATATACCCCTTCTTTATTCGGGTGGGTGGATAGGCAGCTATATGTACTATATACCCCTTCTTTATTCGGGTGTATAGGCAGCTATATATACTATATTACCCCTTCTTTATTGGGGTGTATAGGCAGTCATATATACTATATTACCCCTTCATTATTGGGGTGTATAGGCAACTATATATACTATATTACCCCTACTTTATTGGGGTGTATATACACCTTATTTGCATGCAATTATTATATTCTCTTTTCTACTGCTGTGGGGCTGCATGCATGCAACCGCAGAGGCGAGAGAAAATATTTGCTGCTTCTTTTGTTTTGCCAATTTATTTTGCTGCGCGTTTTTTAAGGGATGGGGTTATTATTATTCTTTTTATTTGTTCCTCCCCTTGTTGTAAGCAGCACCGGTATAATATATGTTATATATATATATATATATATATA